AGTGCGCGGGAGCAGGTTCAGAGGAGAATGGGAGCTGGCAGGCGGCAGGTGGGGCATCTTAGCCCCAGGACCTTGCCTGGGCAGTGGTAGCACGTGGGCTGGGCCTGTTTTCAGCCACAGAGCCCGGTCCTCCAGCTGCTCGATTGTCTCCTCCTTTCCTGTGTTCCTCCTCCTCCTCCTCCTCCTCCTCCTCGGGTGGTGACTAAGCAGCCAGTGAGAGTAAAGGAAAAGTGAGCACTCCGCTCAGAGTGCCAGCCCTGTGGGCTGGAGCCATGGCTCCTCTCCAGATTGGTGGAGGAGTCTTGTCCCAGGCTGTGGCAACCTTGACCTGGTATCTCCTCAGTGAGGCTTCCATCTTTGCTGGTCTGTATAGCAGGCATCTGTGAGGCTTGGCCAAAAGTGGTTGCTGCTACTCGCATTATTCCTCCTTCAGAATAGTCTTGAGTATCCAAGACTACGTAGGTGGCGCAGAGATATTGCTGTGTAAGGTCAGGAGTTATCCTAGGTTGCTGAGCCCTGGCTGTAACCAAGGAGCAAATTGTTGGGCCTTGGTGGTGATCCCTGGTCCCCTCTCATTAGGCTGTCGGTTCCTTGCTGGAGAATTTGGCCACAAAGAGTTGCCAAGATAGCTGGGCCAGGAAGAAAGCGCCGTAGTCCTGACCCAGACGCCGTTGCCGACCCCGGGGCACTCTGGCTGTCGACCAAACGGCTCAAGATGTCTGGTGGGACCAGTGCCACGGGCCCAAGGAGAGGGCACCCAGGACTGGAGGAGGCCACCAGTAAGAAGAAGCAGAAAGATCGAGCAAACCAGGAGAGCAAGGATGGAGATCCTAGGAGATGTGGTAACGGCATTCTCAGAGTGCTTGTGGCCTCCTCCCCTTGCGCATAGAGGTTGATGGTTGGGAAATGACTTTTTTGCTTTCCTTCTGTCTTGGTGTGATGCTGAGAGAAGGACCCATGGTAGGCTGGGGAGAGCCTCAGCTTTGATGTCTGGATATTTGGCTGAGATCCTAAAGATGGTGATTGGTGGAGTGATGGGGTCTTGGAGGCTGCCTCCCCATCATCGTTTCCCTGTTCTTTCCTTTGTTGTCAGGGTCAGTAGCCGCTCCTCGGGAGGAGCAGACCAAAGAGGGTGAGTAATGAATAGGCCTTTTGGGTGCTAGAGTGCCAGGGGAGAAAGGGGACACTGGGTGTGTAGCCCTCATCTGGAGCAGTCCCATTAGGGCTGGGTTCCTGGTACCTGTCAGTCCCCATTAGGAGTTCATGGAGACCTTCACCGTCTTATTGCCACTCTCCCTGCAGAGTTGTTACTTGATTGGAGGCAGAGTGCAGATGAGGTGATTGTCAAGCTGCGTGTGGGAGCAGGTCCCCTGAGGCTGGAGGAGGTGGAGACTACTTTCACGGACACAGACTGTGCGGTGTGGTTTCCAGGTTCGTCCATCTTGCCTGAGCTCAGCAGTATATTTCTGTCCTCTGACATCTTCCACCCCAGCTCACTGTTCCCAACTCTGTCTCCAGGTGGTCGGCAGTGGGGTGGTGTTTTCTACGCTGAGATAGAAAGTTCTTGCACCAAAATACAGACTCGCAAAGGGGGCTTTCTGCAGCTGGCACTGCGCAAGAAGGTGCCTCTGCTCACATGGCCCTCTCTCCTGGTAAGTTCCAGAGCAGGGTGTGGCAGGGACACCCAGTGTAGTTGACAGGCCCTGACTGTTGTATCTTTGGCAGAAGAAACCTCTAGGGAAGCAGGAGTTGGTGTCAGGGCTGCAGTGCCAGGAGAATGGGCAGGAGCCATCTCCCATTGCCCTGGAGCCAGGCCCGGAGCCCCGCCGGGCTAAGCAGGAGGCCCGGAACCAGAAGCGGGCCCAGGGTCGTGGTGAGGTAGGCGCGGGGGCTGGCCCCGGGGCCCAGGCAGGGCCCAGCGCCAAGAGGGCTGTGCATCTCCGCAGAGGGCCAGAGGGGGAAGGGTCCAGAGATGGCCCTGGACCCCAGGGCGATGCCCCTTCCTTCCTGGCTGAGCCGGTCACCCAGGTGAGAGTGGGGTGCCTGCGTGGGAGTTGGGAGATGGGGAGAAGGGTGTGGACTGCAGTGGTGGGATCACTTGCCAGGCTCAGGACCAGTCCTGCCCATAATCTTACCGTGAATAGGCTGAGGCTGAGGAACAGCTCCGGGTACCGCCGCTGAACCCCCAGACCTGCCTCCTGGGCTCAGAGGAGAATCTAGCACTTTTGGCAGGAGAGAAGGCAGTGTCCCCCAGGAATGACCCAGTCTCCCCAGCCATGACCCGGAGCAGAGACCCTGAGAAAGGTGATCGTTCCAAAGAGGAGATGGCAGTGGCAGCAGATGCTGCAACCCTGGTGGATGGTAAAGGTGGGGCTGGGGGTGGGCAGGCACAGCCCTAGATTGGGTTACAAGGTTGGTGGGTGGGTAGGGAGTAGAATAGTAACGGGTAGGAACCTGTCTTGGGTGGCACTGATCTGTGATCTCAACGTAGAGCCTGAGTCCATGGTGAACCTGGCATTTGTCAAGAATGACTCATATGAGAAAGGGCCAGACTCAGTGGTGGTGCACGTGTACGTGAAGGAAATCTGCAGAGACACCTCTCGGGTGCTCTTCCGTGAGCAGGACTTCACACTGATCTTCCAGACCAGGTGGGTGGTTGGAAAGAGACAGGGCAGACAATACGCTCCAGGCAGGCCAGCGTGTCTCATTCTCCTCCTACCCTGCCCCTGCTCTGCCTCTGCAGGGATGGAAACTTCCTGAGACTGCACGCCGGCTGTGGGCCCCACACCATCTTCCGTTGGCAGGTGAAGCTCAGGTGGGTGGTGCCCGGCCCCACCACTGTGCCTCTCCCACCCTGGGCTCCATCTCCCTGGCCCATCTAGCCAGACACCCACCCCACCTGAGTTCCTGAGTGCAGCCTTTTCCCTCAGGAACCTGATCGAGCCAGAGCAGTGCACCTTCTGTTTCACGGCCTCTCGCATCGACATCTGCCTCCGGAAGCGGCAGAGTCAGCGCTGGGGGGGCCTGGAGGCCCCAGCTGCACGAGGTCTGCACACGAGCTCCCTTCATTGCCAGCTCATGTGACCGAGACCCCCACACCCTGCCACATGCTGCTAACCACCAGCCCCCTCATTCCCCCTTTTTAAGGTGCAGTGGGTGGTGCAAAGGTTGCCGTGCCGACAGGCCCAACCCCTCTGGATCCAACCCCACCGGGAGGTGCCCCGCACCCCCTGACAGGCCAGGAGGAAGCCCGGGCTGTGGAGAAGGAGAAACCCAAGGCTCGATCTGAGGACACGGGGCTGGATGGTGTGGCAGCCCGTACCCCCATGGAGCATGTAGCCCCAAAGCCAGAGCCACACCTGGCCTCGGTGAGAATCTGGGAGTCAGGAGGGCCAAGGATGGAGGCCGGAGAGCCTCAGGGCTGCTCTCTCATGCCCCTCTTGCTCCCACAGCCCAAGCCCACATGCATGGTGCCTCCAATGCCCCACAGTCCCGTGAGTGGAGACAGTGTGGAGGAGGAGGAGGAGGAAGAGAAGAAGGTGTGTCTTCCGGGCTTCACTGGCCTCGTCAATCTAGGCAACACCTGCTTCATGAACAGTGTCATTCAGTCTCTGTCCAACACTCGGGAGCTGCGGGACTTCTTCCATGGTGAGAGTGGGGCCTGGAGCCCGGGGCTGTGGGCACGGGATGCTGTCCCCTGCTCACACTTCTGCTGGACTCCTGTCCCTAGACCGCTCCTTTGAGGCCGAGATCAACTATAACAACCCACTGGGGACAGGTGGGCGTCTGGCCATCGGCTTTGCTGTGCTGCTCCGGGCGCTGTGGAAGGGCACCCACCATGCCTTCCAGCCTTCCAAGTTAAAGGTGATCTGTGGCCACTCCCACGCTTGGCTGGTGAGGGCGGGGAGGACCAGCCAGCTGGGTATATGGTGGGTGCTGCAGCTCTGTGCTCACACCTTACCCCTGGATTCAGGCCATTGTGGCAAGCAAGGCCAGCCAGTTCACGGGCTATGCACAGCACGATGCCCAGGAGTTCATGGCTTTCCTGCTCGATGGACTGCATGAGGACCTGAACCGCATTCAGAACAAGCCCTACACGGAGACTGTGGACTCAGATGGCCGGCCTGATGAGGTCAGGGTTGTGGGGAGAGGTGGGCCTGTCTCGGGCACATCACAGTCCCCAGGTCTCCATTCTCACCATCCTGCCCCTCAGGTGGTGGCGGAGGAAGCATGGCAGCGGCACAAGATGAGAAATGACTCCTTCATCGTGGACCTGTTTCAGGGCCAGTACAAGTCAAAGCTGGTGTGCCCAGTGTGCGCCAAGGTGTGATGTGCTCCTGGAAAGAGACTCCCTAACTTGACCTACCTAGCCTGGTCAAATTGAGGTCAGAGGCATTTGCTGTGGGGCAAGGTTTGGGCGAGGAAGCTGACGGGAAGCCTTCAGAGACCATGTGGGCTGCAGAGGTCTTAGGCTTTTCGGCTAAGACGAAAGTGATATTTGGGCTCAAACACAGCTGTAAGGTGGGGCAGGGCTTTGGGTAAGGTTGAAATGGCATATGGGGAGCCAGTTAGGGGCACAGTGGTAAAGTGAGGAGGCTGGGCAGGACCTCAAGTGCCAGAAAGAGGGATTGTTGTCTCCCGACGGTCTTCCTGGTGCATCCAGTGCCCTGAGAATGTGCTGGCTGTGAGGTCCGGACAGCCATCCAAGGGCCTGCTCCCTGCCCTTTGCGCGGCCACCCAATGACACTTGCGCATCCACAGGTCTCCATCACTTTCGACCCATTCCTTTACCTGCCGGTGCCTTTGCCACAGAAGCAAAAGGTTCTCCCTATCTTCTATTTTGCCCGGGAGCCCCACAGCAAGCCCATCAAGGTGAGGAGTAAGCTCTTACTTCCAGGCTGTTCCAGAGACCCTGGGCCACCTCCCCCATGGACTCTGTCTACTCTGTCACCACAGTTCCTGGTGAGCGTCAGCAAGGAGAACTCGAGTGCAAGTGAAGTGTTGGACTCCCTTTCTCAGAGCGTCCACGTGAAGCCTGAAAACTTGCGTCTGGCTGAGGTATGTCTGTCCTTCCGCAGGCTCTTAGGCTTGTGGACACATGTATACTCACAGCACACAGACGTTGGCATCTGTGAAGTCTTTGGCATATGTACACGGACACGTGAATGTGCACGTGACTGCATAAGAACAGGTGGTGTGTGTTGGTCGAGGCATGGTTGAAACCAAGCGTTTGGGCTGTGCAACAAAGGTGCTCTCAGTTCCCAGCCGTCATCAGGGTTGGTGACCCTTAACTGTTTTTCCCTCTTCAAACAAGGAGCTTGAGCTGCAGGATTATCCTTCCACTACTTATGGTTCTCTCTTGATCTGCTGTTCCTTCATGTTATCTCAGATCTGTGTGCTGGTCTCCAAAGGTCCCTAGCTTCCCACCTGGTCCTTTTCCTCAGGGGTACAGGCGGGAAGGAGCTTCCTTTAATAGGGCCCTTCCATGATAACCATGTCGCAGTCACAGCAGGGCCCCACTAGCTGATAAGAGGTTAGAGGCCCTCAGTGTGGAGAGCTAGTGTAGTTGATACTTGTACCAGTCCTGGGCTTTCAGGCTCTCTGATGCATCAAGCTCCTTATTCCATTGGACACTAAAACTGGTGCCAGCAGAGGCACATGCTTCTTTTGGGCCACAGTCCCCACCCCTGCCCCTATAACCCAGGATCAAGGCCAGGCTTCCTCCCTGTGCTCTGGGGCCGAACTAGGGAAGAGGCTTGTCCTCAGGTAAGATCTGTGTGTTCTCTCTTTCCAGGTGATTAAGAACCGTTTCCATCGTGTGTTCCTGCCCTCCCACTCACTGGATACTGTGTCCCCATCCGACATGCTCCTCTGCTTTGAGCTCTTATCCCAAGAGTTAGCTAAGGAGCGGGTGGTGGTGCTAGAGGTGCAACAGGTGAGTGGAGGGCAACCTGAGGGCACAGGGCTGTGGTGGTGGGGCGCTCCCGCCTGGCCTGGCCTTGCTGAGCCCGACGACCCACCCTAGCGCCCCCAGGTGCCCAGCATCCCCATCTCCAAGTGTGCAGCCTGCCAGCGGAAGCAGCAGTCGGAGGATGAGAAGCTGAAGCGCTGTACTCGGTGCTACCGCGTGGGCTACTGCAACCAGTGAGGACCCCCATGGTCTGCCCTGTCCCTCCTCCCCACCTGCCAGGCCCGTGGGGAGGCAGGGCTGGCATCTGCGTTTCCCAGGGCTAGAGGCCAGCTCCTATTCTTATCTCCCTTTTCCCTCCAGGCTCTGCCAGAAAAACCATTGGCCTGACCACAAGGGCCTCTGCCGCCCTGAGAACATTGGCTACCCTTTCCTGGTCAGTGTACCTGCCTCACGCCTCACTTATGCCCGTCTTGCTCAGTTGCTAGAGGGCTACGCCCGGTAAGTTCCCAGTGGTTGAATAAGGGTGTGGTAGGTGTGGGGCAGAGGTGCCAGATGGGCTCGTCAGGATTCTTACTTGCCTTGCTGCCTGTTGCCAGGTATTCTGTGAGCGTTTTCCAGCCACCTCCCTTCCAGCCTGGCCGCATGGCCTTGGAGTCCCAGACCCCTGGCTGCACCACATTACTCTCTACTAGCTCCCTGGAGGCTGGGGACAGTGAGAGGGACCCCATCCAGCCGCCTGAGCTCCAGTTGGTGACCCCCGTGGCTGAGGGGGACACAGGGGTCCCCCGGGCGTGGGCAGCCCCTGATCGGGGCCCTGTCCCCAGCACCAGTGGAGTTTCTTCTGAGATGCTGGCCACTGGGCCCCTTGAAGTTGGCTCCTTGCCTGCTGGTGAGAGGGTGTCCCGGCCTGAAGGTAAGAGTCTGGTGGGAGGCTCTGCAGCTGGGGGAGGGGAAGTGGGGGGCTCTGGTAGCAGGAGACTGATTTATCATCTTCTCTCGCAGCTGCTGTGCCTGGGTACCAACACCCAAGTGAAGCCATGAATTCTCACACACCCCAGTTCTTTATCTATAAAATTGACGCATCTAACCGAGAGCAGCGGCTAGAGGACAAAGGTGTCTGAGGTGTGGGTGGGAGCCGTGGTGGCGCAGGCTGGCTGCTCTCCACAGCTGCGTGACCCCCACCCCCTGCCCGTCTCCAGGAGATACGCCACTGGAGCTGGGCGATGACTGCAGCCTGGCTCTCGTCTGGCGGAACAACGAGCGCCTGCCGGAGTTTGTGTTGGTAGCCTCCAAGGAGCTGGAGTGTGCTGAGGATCCCGGCTCTGCTGGCGAGGCTGCCCGCGCTGGCCACTTCACCCTGGACCAGTGCCTGAACCTCTTTACGCGGCCCGAGGTGCTGGCTCCTGAGGAGGCTTGGTGAGGACAGGGGAGCAGGCCGGTCGTGGGACAGGGTGGAGTGGAGACCCGCTGGTCTTGACCCCGCGTCTGTCCCCTCTCAGGTACTGCCCGCAGTGCAAACAACACCGCGAGGCCTCCAAGCAGCTGTTGCTCTGGCGTCTGCCGAACGTGCTCATTGTGCAGCTCAAGCGCTTCTCCTTCCGCAGTTTCATCTGGCGCGACAAGATCAACGACTTGGTGGAGTTCCCTGTTCGGTGAGCGCTGGGCCCTGGTGACTGAAGGCAGGGTCTGGGAGCCAATGGAGGCCTCCTGGGCACCTGTTAACTGTCTCACCTCTCTGGCTGGGCCCACAGGAACCTGGACCTGAGCAAGTTCTGCATTGGTCAGAAAGAGGAGCAGCTGCCCAGCTACGACCTGTATGCTGTCATCAGCCACTATGGAGGCATGATTGGTGGCCACTACACCGCCTGTGCACGCCTGCCCAATGACCGCAGCAGCCAGCGCAGCGACGTGGGTGAGGGCCAGGGCACACGCAGCACAGCAGGATAGGCGGTAGGGGTGGTGGTGCAGATTATGTTCACACTCTTCCCACTTTGCTATAGGCTGGCGCTTGTTCGATGACAGCACGGTGACAACAGTAGATGAGAGCCAGGTCGTGACGCGTTATGCCTATGTACTCTTCTATCGCCGGCGGAACTCTCCTGTGGAGAGGCCCCCCCGGGCAGGTCACTCTGAGCATCACCCAGACCTAGGCCCTGCAGCTGAGGCTGCTGCCAGCCAGGTGAGGCATGGGGGGGGGCATCGCAGGCTAGTGGGGCCTAACTCACTTTGGAGAGGGCGAGACACAGCTTCCTGTCCTCCAGCGATAGGCCCCTGCAGCCTTGGAACTCGTGAGTTACAGATAGGATTCTCTTACAGGACACCGTAGCCAGAGGGATCCCCGTGCTGTAGGTGCATGCACACCAACATGCCATTGGTGTCCACACAGGCACCCACTTGGCACAGGCCAGGTAGCTTCTCTGAACCTTACTAGGTGCAGTGCCATGAACAGACTGTACCTGACACTCTCCCAGCTTTTCTCTGCACGCTGCCCACATGCCAGCCCGCAGACTCTCACTTGTGATCATCCTGGTGTTCTGATGTGCACTTAGGACAGGGTCTCTCCAGGCTAACCATGGCCTAGGGTGCCTGTTACCCTCTCTGAGGTGAGCATCTGTCCCCGCTGAGCCTTTAAGTTCTTCTCTTTTACTGACTTGGAGTTCCGTAGGCCTAGCTGATGGGCGTAGCCACCTCTCTTTTTCTGTATTAGTCTCCTCCTTGCTGTCCTCTCCTCCCTAGAGCCCTATATGCTCAGACTCAGAGAAATCCCCACAGAGGACAGGGCTCAGGATCTGGATGTGGGTAGGAGGAGCCAGATCACTCGGGTTGGCAGCTCTGTCCTCCACGAGCCAGTCCCCTTTGGGAAGCCTAGGTTGAGAAACTCACCCACCAGCCCCCACCCTGGTGTAGGAAGCTGCATGTCAATTGAGAATCTTTTTGAGGAGGCCAGAGTGCTGTCAAGATTTGCCTACCCTGGTATTCTCAGTCTAGACAGGCCAGCGAATGGCCCATTTGGCTCCTGCCTGCCTGCCTCCCCGCTGCTTGACCTGGGATATAGGGGTTTAGTGCCAGTCATTTGGGTAGGATGATCATGGCCAGGGGTCTCAGGGACACTGGGCCCCCCCATTCCCGCTCTGGGTGCTGATGGCCGTTTCCACACACTGTAGGCTTCCCGGATTTGGCAGGAGCTGGAGGCCGAGGAGGAGCCAGTACCCGAGGGGCCTGCGCCCCTGGGTCCCTGGGGGCCCCAAGACTGGGTGGGCCCCCCACCACGTGGCCCTACCACACCAGATGAGGGCTGCCTCCGGTACTTTGTTCTGGGCACCGTGGCAGCTTTGGTGGCCCTCGTGCTCAACGTGTTCTATCCTCTGGTATCCCAGAGTCGCTGGAGATGAGCTCGTCTGCAGGCAGCTGCTATGAGCTGGCCCACCTGCCTGCCCACTAGGCATGCCTGCCTCTGTGGTGGGGACCAACTCTGGGCTTGGGCATCTGGAGGGAGAAGGTGGGGACTCTGGCTCCCGCAGGGGCAGAGCATCCTAGGGTGGGTATCCGTCCAGCTGTCTGTCCATTCATCCTGCTGCTCTGACCCCTGGCCTGGGGCTTAGCCCTACCCAAGCAGCTTCTTGTATTTAAAGTGTTAATAAAGCAAGACTGTTCAGGCCTGATTTTTGTCTCTCTGTCTCAATGCCACTGCTGTCTGCGCCTGCCTTGGGGCCCTCCCTTGGGTGCCGGGGCTCTAAGCCAGCACCCCTGGGATGCCAGGCAGCATACTGGGCAGCCCCCAACCCCTGTCCTCATATTCTGTTGCAGGGACTAGGCCCTGGCCAGGCCCCCGAGGTGGCCCCCACGCGGACAGCCCCTGAACGCTTCGCCCCCCCTGTGGACCGCCCAGCCCCCACCTACAGCAACATGGAGGAGGTCGATTAGCAGGTCCCTGGCTGGTGGGGGGCCTGGGTTTGGGGATTCCCCACAGAGGGCCAGCTCTTTGCCGCTTCTCCTTCTCTAACCCAGAGGACACTGGCTTCAGTGGGGAATTGGGGGGTGTGATTTGAGGGTGGGTACCTCACAGGTTGGGACTTCTTGACAGCTGGAACCCCTAACCAGTGGGCCTTGGCTTCTCCAGCCATCCTCAGTGCTGCGTGTTTTGATTCTCAGTTGTACCTTCAATTCTTTCTGACTCGCATTATAAACGTTATAATTTTATTATAAAAATTGTAATTTTTTTTTTTTTTTTTGCATTTTGGAAGTGATTGCTGCTGTTTAAATATATTTTAAAAATAAATGATAAACAAGCAGACTTAGTGACTGTGATGGACCAGGTGCTATGGCCACCTCCCTTCCCCATCATCGTGTGTGTGTGTGCGTGTGTGCTACTCTGGTCTGAGGAGAGATGCTCCTGTGGGTCATGAAGCCCTTGTGCTGCCATCAGTCCTCTGGGACCTGCCTGCTGCTCTTTGATCTCACTGATCCCATGCCTCTCATGTGGAGGCGGCTGTGGTTGGCATCATTGTCAGTACCTCACACCCAAGGGGTGGAGTAGTACACCATGAGGCTCTATCCAGAAGCTGACAGCAGGTCAGGGGGCACTTGGGGAACAGGTACTGGGGGGATCTCCCTCCTTTCCCAATCTCAGGTCTTTACTAGTTTAGGTGCCATCTGGATCCCTCAAGGGAGAACACAGCAGGAAAAAAAAACAGGGAATGAGACCCTGGTCCAAGAGTAGGATAGGCAGAAAGGATCAGGGCTCATCTCGGCTGACGTCCTGTGGAAGGGAGCGTACTGGATTCTACCAGGCCATTTCTTCCCTCGAGTCCCTGAGACCTTGGCTCCTGGCAGTTACCCCACAGCGGGTCTGCAACCTTGTCTGTCTTGGGGCCTTTGTGACTTTGTACACATGTAGAGAAAGGGCAAATCTTGTGAGAAGCCTCCTTACCTCTCTTCATGGATAATGTTGCCCCCTCTTCTCTCCAATTCTTGGGGGTAGGTGTGGGCATCTCCAACTGAAGGGAGATGGGGAGCAAAGGTACTCATGAGACAGGTGTCCAGATATCCCACAAAGAGTGTAAGGCAGGCAGAGGTGGGACAGTGTCCTGGCAGCCCTGTCAGTCCATCCCTGCCCCCAAGCCTGTGGGGGCTCATCATGTGGGCTCTGCCAGTACCCCTCAGCCTGGTCTAGAGTCAGAGTGGTGGTGAGCAGAGGGAGCTCCTGGGGAAAACTAGCCTGAGACCAACATTGGCTTTTTCCCTATGGTGACAACAGCACAAAGGCCATGGAGGGGTTGCTGGCCTTGGAGAGGGGCTTGAAGGGCTGGGTGTGAGCCCCTGCAGAAATGGTGGAATTGCCAAGATGGGTGCTCGTGCTGGCATACTACTGGAGGGCCTACTAGGCGTGGGCTGCGAAAGGATTGTGCTGCACCTACACTTGGGTGTAGCCCCAAGTGTTTGGCCGCAGGTGGTCTACATGTACTGGATACAGTGATCAAGGCGCTCTGTCCTAACCGCAGTCCTGCTATGACCACCAGCACCGTGGCCTCTACCGCCTCTGTGTTCACTGTTAGCATATGCTGCAGGGACCTGTCCATAGGTCTGGCTGCTGGCCCCTGCCTCTTCTCATGCCACAGCTGGGCCTCACTGGCTGCTGCTGCCTGGCTTTTCTCCTTGGTCTTTTTCTTGATTTTCCTGAAAGTAGTGCCAGTCTCCTGGGCTGGGTCCATACAACTTCATGGTTCTGCTCTATGCAAGTCATAGGGCTCCAGAAGACTGGCTGGCCTGCCACTGACACTTGTGGCATTCTTGGTGGAGCTACTGCCTCATCCTGTGACATGGAGCCACAGGGTACAAAGGGTAGGTATCCTGAGACCAGGGAAGGGGATGCAGGTCCTAACCCCATTGAGGAGGCCATCACCGGATGTGCAGGACTCACTGATATTGTTATAATAAATCCTTTGGTGGTATCAGGTACAGAAGAGACAATGGCATTGGCGGGCATCTTGCTTTTCATAGACACCTTCAGTGGGCTAGGCATCAGCACAGGGCTGTGGTTCTGCTTGTTGGTGCCCATCTGTGGCACCGCTGCTCCATCCACCAGTGCCTGCACCTGGACTTGGCTGGGCATCAGGCTGGGGCCAAAAGGCCATAGGGAGGTGGGAAGCCCCAAGACACAGGACTGGACCTAGATATTAATGCAGTGTGTGGCCCTGGGCAGAACCTGGCATTTGGTCATTACGTGGGACTCATATTTAGGTCAAGAAATAGGTCTTTGGTCATTAATGGGATATGGCCACAAAACAGGACCCAGAATATGGATACAGATGATAGTCAGGACCCTGCCCAGCCCTCGGAGGTCCAGGAGTATTAGCAACACCAAGGTCTCGAAAAGCCTGAGTTCCAATTTCAAATTTGGAAATATCCTCACCATCCCAGGTCCACAAAGAAAGCAGCTTGTATGTTCTGACTTGACCATTCCCAGCAGGTCCTGGAAGTCCAGTGAGAGACTGTGGGGAGACACCCCACCCCTCAGCACAATAGCCATCATCATGATTTTATCTCCTCTGCCCCACTGTATCCCAATTTCAATAAAATATCCTGTCAAATGCCTATAGATGGATTTCGAGGTCTAATTTGCTTGTGGTTTTCATGGCATTTGCATGCTTTGGCAAGGGGGGATGGGTTGGTAAGTGTGCCAGGAGATTTTAAACCAAATCATCACAGTGCTCGCTTTGACAGCACATACACTAAACCAAATCATCGCAAAACTTCTGCGAGGTCCCTCCTGGCTAGGTGTGTCCAGGTGGGAACTCCAAAAGTGCTAGTCTATGGGGCCCCTAGATTGGCCATTCCGCAGGGTCTCTGCGCTGGAGTCTTAACCGGATTTTCACTCAACTGTTTCCATGACAACTCCAAAGCTGTAACTTGAGAAACGCGACAGGGACTCACATCTGCTCCCGAGAAGGCTGGGATGGTCGCCAGGTTTCCAGGGCGGAAGAAAAGTCAAAGAGCAATGGGCAACGCCTGCGTCTGCCTCCCACCTCCCTCTACCCCTTCGAATGACCCTCGGAGCGGAGAGGGAAACGAAGCATCCAGAAAGGCCAGTTTGGCTGCACTCCGTCCTTTAAATGGCGCCGACCACCCTATAAGCCCCGCCCCCTCCCGCCAAGGAAGGACACCATTGGCTCTCCCTGGCGGCTTCGCTCTCCTATTGGTCAGTGGGCTAACGTCGACGTGCAGATGGGCCCAAAGTTTTCTTTCGGTTTCCGGTGTCCCCGCCATGGCGACTGTGGATTCCGTGTCGCTCTTCACCGGCCTCGGCCTGAGCGAGCAGAAGGCCCGCGAGACGCTCAAGAACACGGCTCTGAGCGCGCAGCTGCGCGAGGCAGCGACCCAGGTGCGAGCCCCTGTGCCCTCGGCCTGGGGTGCCGACAGCGCCCTCACGCAGCGCCTGGCCGGTACCCATCCGCATCTACGCACCTGGTCTCTCGTACGCCTTTCTCACTGGGCGTGGGGCTTCTCTTCTGATCCCTCTGACTCCTGACCCCTCTGACCCCAGGCGCAGCAGACTCTGGGCTCCACCATCGACAAGGCTACCGGGACTCTATTATACGGCTTGGCCTCCCGACTCAGGGATCCCCGGCGACTCTCTTTTCTCGTGAGCTACATAGCCAATAAGAAGATCCACACCGAGCCCCAGCTGAGCGGTGAGACCCCCCCCGCCCCCGTCTGTCCTGCCCCTTTCCACCTCCACCTCCAGTCCTCGCCAACACCCCTTTCTGCTAAGTCCCCCAATGTTTCTCTAAATGTCTAGTTCAGCACTCCCCTCTAAACCAGGCTTGGCATTGAGGGATGGAGAGAGCCGCCTCTGGTGAGACTGACTGGGGAACCGTGTAGGTCTGGGGAAGAGCCTCCCCAGGAGGCCAAAGTATAATTGGGGTTTCATGGGATCAGGGTCCTGTCTCCCTACTTCTTGGAGCTGAGATGCCACAAACTCATTGGCTGTCCTTTCTCAGCTGCACTTGAGTATGTGCGAAGTCATCCCCTGGACCCCATTGACACTGGACTTTGA